GACTTGTGTGTGAATGTTGTTGATGATTTTGGTGTGTAAAAGTGTCATGGGAGATATACCTATGATCCTTTGATTTGTGATAGGTGAGGAAATGTGGAATAATTTTAGGAGTGAAGGAAACGGATGAAGGAAATGAAAAAAGGAACAAAAATGTTGAAAGAAATGAAGGAGGGAAACATACAGGATGAAGGAAACTAAGGAGGGAATCCCATTAATCCCATTTCTTTTGGACTTGTTAAAATAAAGATTGAGATGATTGTCGGTAATGAGTTTCCTTTAAGAACTGTTGGCCTAACTTAACCTAACCTAACCATAACATTCGTGAAGACAGTGAACTGCGGGAGGCAAACAAAAACATTATTTAAATGTCGGAGCAACTGACAACATAACTTCAATTTCTCTTGCTCTTGTTCTTGTTGCTCTTATTTTCCTTCTTGTTCTTGTTATTCTTGCCCTTCATGTTCATATTACTGTTATTGCTGTTGTTCTTATTTTTCTTCTAATACTTGTTCTTCTGGTTCTTCTCTGCCTTCTTCTTCTTTCGTTATTTTCTTTCTCTGCCTTCTTCTTCTTCGTCTTCTTCTCCTTTCCTTCTTCTCTGCCTTCTTCTTCGTCTTTACCTTCTATGTCTTCTAGAAACTAGGAGATAACGAGCACCACACAAGGTCAGTCAGAGCGGGTGTGAGAGGGTGATCTATTTGGTGTTCTGTGTCACGCTCTAATTGGTCGACCACCTGAGTGTGAACAGTGAAGGAAAAGACGATAAAAGTGGAGAAACCAGATAATGTAAGAGTAAAGAATATACGATGAGAGATGGAGAGAGGATGGTTGGAAGAGGAGTAGTGTAGACTTAACTGTATAATATAAGGTCAGAGGTGTTATGAAGACACCTGAGGAATGTCTTAATGGAGGCTGTCAAGGTGTGAGGATGGGCAGGTGTGAGGATGGGCAGGCGTGAGGATGGGCAGGTGTGATGATGGGAATATGTGATGATTGAAGGGTACAAGGATGGGGAGGTTTGAGGATGGGGAGGTGTGAGGATTGGAAGATATAATGATGGGAAGTTATAAGGATGGGAAGGTGTGATGATGGGAAGGTGTAAGGATGGGCAGATGTGAGGCTGAAAACCTGATAAGAAACACTAAAGAGAAAAATAGAGAACAGAAAGGACAATTAGAATGCAATCAGTAACCAAGGTGCAATGGACTCGAGTAAAAACACATATCGAATTAATGTAGATGACGTTTAGACGCTGGTGAGACTATTGATCGTGGAAGATGTGAATGTGTGAATGTAAACGTAGATGGTGAGTGTGAATGGGTCGTTTATATAAGTGTGGGGGGACATCATCCACCAAGGCTTATTATAATGTTTTCCTTCGGGAGTGGGTGACTTGGGGGTGTGGGACTTGGGGAATGTAGGATTGGGGAATGTGGGAGTATGGGACTTGGGGAATGTAGTACTTGGGAACATAGAAGGTAGTCGAACCTTCTGGTCCTTTAGTCACTAGATGAAGACGATGAGAGCTACTGTAAGCTTATGCTGCTGTCCAGTTGGCTGAGGAAAACAACTTTGGGGAATATGTTAAGCTGTGATGAAGAGAGTATAGGAAGGTGCTAAGAGTAAGTAGAGGTGAATGAAAGGGACAGACGTAATGTATCACTCATTTAAATAGTAAAAAAAAATAGTATTATGGACTAGATTATTCATACGAGAAACAAAATTGAAGACAAGATTGATTTGGAAACGAATTTGAAAGCGAGATTACACAAATGGAAACGAGTTGAAAGTAGAAGGCAGTACGAAACCACAAGATTGTGAGTAGAATGCATTAAGAAAGTAAAGTGTGGATATACTCTAAAAAAAACTTCGAAAATGGAGAACAAGTCGAGCATTGAATATACATGAAGCCTCCGTGAAAGGTAAGAATTCTACACCATCCTTTCAGCGCCTTGACTTCTGTGTGTGTGTAGTCCTGAACACCGTGGAGCTGTACAGTATAAGACATACCACAAACATTAAGAAGACTCACCTCCTTAATGTCTTCTTTACACTCGTACAAAAGAAAACTTATTTTCACTTTTAAGGATACTGAAATAGATAACTAGTTTGTGATGTAATATTTTAAGAATTACAAGAAAATTTAAGGAAAGGGATTTGAAGATAGATGTTTGGTGCAGCGTTGAAGTCATTAGAAAGTCTCTTGGGTAAAGACATGCTTGGACGGTGTGGTGAGGAGGCGGGCCCGACAGTGTGTGGGTTGATGATAATTGAATGAGTGATGACAGCGATTGATACTACACGTTAATGTGACGAAGAGAGCAAAAGATTGCTATTGAAAGTGAATGATCATTTAAGCTCTTGGCTCTACGAGTGCTACTTTTTGTTCGTGTCAATGTCAAAATAGACACAATACATAAATATAATAAAGTAAATATTTAATACTTTAAGAGGACATAATAAGTGGTCGAGCGAAGGGTCGCTTCACTTGACTTAACGGGGAAAGTAATGATGATACGATTTTTTTTACTGAATTCTCAATTTAGTTTGTAACGTGAAGGTGTTTTATTCTTACTGAAATCTTAATTATTTTATTGTTACTCTTCTTCTTGGAAGGTTATTTTGTACCAGGTAAGCAGTTCATCATCCTCATTGCTTTTATAAATAGTTTTGGAAATTAGTTAAGGAGATGTTATCATGGAAATTCTTAGAAATATTGTAATGGATATTTTTTATGGAAATAGTTAGTCTAATAAAATAAGGGAATGGCTGATTAGATCCCATGATGCAACATTATGATTTAATTAAAGTCTAATATGTAGAATGCGGTTTTACTGGCTGGGGAAAAGGGGGTGGAGGAGGGAGGGGTAGTGGAGGATCACGGGAGGAGGAGGAGGAGGAAGTGAATGGTTGAGGGAGGAAGAGGAGGAGGATGGCTGAGGGAGGAGGTGAAGAAGAATGGTTGAGGAAGGAGGATGGTTGAGGGAGCAAGAGGAGAAGGAAGAAAATGGCTGAAGGACAAAGAAAAGGAAAGAGTAGTAGGAGGAGGAGCTGGGGGTTGTCTGACGGAGTAGGAGGAGGAGGAGGAGAAGGGGGGAGTGGTAGAGAGGGAGGAGGAGGGGGGGAGGGAGTGTTAGAGAGGGAGGAGGAGGAGGCAGAGAAGTTATTGTAGACGATAAGCTGCAAGTATCACAGACAACCTACTATTACTTAAGCAGTGGCTGGTTTTAACTTCATAAGGCCCGGTTCTTGCCCACCTGGAAATTTGAAGTAGAATAATTTGCATCTCACCGGTCCTCAGTTTAAGCTCATGCTCTGTAATATATTCACTAGGCTGATGTGTAAGTATATGTTACAAGTGGGACGTCCTGTGATAATTCAAACATTTGACGGGACTAGAAATTTGCATAAGCAGCTCACTCCACTACCACCTGTTCTCGCACCTGCATACATGGTGAAGCGATTGCATCATTCCACAGAAATATACACTGATACATGCCTTCATACACCACACATGGGAGTATTAGAACATCTATTCAGGAACACCGCATTTATTAAGTTTTATATAAACATTACACACACACACACACACACACACACACACACACACACACACACACACACACACACACACACACACACACATACTGATGATTGACCTCCAAGCACACGTTTTACAATAACAACTCATATACACACACGATAACATGTGCATGCTGGCAGGAGGTTCATGAAGGAGATGTGAGGCTCACTGTGGCTCACTGTGGCTAGCTAGTGACCACCAACCAGCCCTCACTGAGCCCTCATCCTGTAGCCACCAGCCAGCCGTCCCCTTGTAGCTACAAGCTAGCCCTTCACCTGTAGCCACCATCCAGCCCCCTCCCCCGTAGCCAGCCTGTAGCCACCATCCAGCCCCTCCCCTTGTAGCTACAAGCTAGCCCTTCACCTGTAGCCACCATCCAGCCCCCTCCCCCGTAGCCACCAACCGGCCCCCGCCCCTGTAGCCACTAATCAGCACTCTCCCTGCAGCCACCAGCCCTCGTAAAGTGTCGCAGTGATCGCTAACTCGCTAATGAACGCCGTCACGACTTCTTTGCTGCCGGCGCATGCGTTCTTCTTATCGTGACCTTCGTTGCATTGGGGTTACTGTGGCCTCCCTGGGTCAGTTTGGTTTATAGTGTGGATCTGTAACACGTCTATTTTTTAAAGTATTTTTCGTCAGGTGGTCATTGTGGCAACACCGGCACCATGCAGGCTGTGTGTGTTAACAAGTTGGTGTGGAGGTTTGCTATTTGTTTCTCTCTAGCTGGAAAGGCTTGCTATCTCTCACCTTCCCTCTATTTGAACAAAACATTAATTGTCTTTCTCTACCTGGTCAAGGCTTACTATCTCTTTCCTTACCTGGACATAGTTATCTCTCTCTCTCTCTCTCTCTCTCTCTCTCGCGCGCGCATAGTTTAGTGTACAGTCGAAAATATGGGTTGCTTTAGTTAATTATTTGTACAGCCGCAAAGGACGTTTGATTTCTCTGTACAGGTGTGAAGGACATTTCATTGTATCAAGATGTGAAATGCATCTCACTACTCAAGACAAGTATTAGAAATCTATTAATTCTCAACATAGTGGGGAAGAATAATGTATATTTTAAGTACAGTTGTGTAGAACACCTTTATCTACGTACAGGTGTAGCGTATGAGCACATCAACAGTGTAGCCAATCCGTAATGGATGAGTGACGGCTGAATACCCCGAGCCATGATGCTTCCAACACGACTTTCATCCAACTCCTATATATAAAACGTATTCCTCATGTATATCTGCATATTAGGTTACGTTAACTTGGCTAGGTTAGCGTAAGGGTGTTTAATCTTAAGGTGAAACAAGCTGGAGGGTTAATGATCACGTGATCCTCTCCAGGTTACCATAATTCCTCCATGTTGTTCCTTGAGGAGGTGATCTATGGTACATGTAATACTAATGTGAATTTCTATTTTTCCCCAGGAGGTGAGTCGTGAGGGGGAGGACCCTGAACTAGGTACTGGGGCAGTTCGGAGACCTATTGAAGGGTGGGAGGAGCCCCTGGAGGCCTCAGGTGAGTACCCTTGACGAAACCAAACAAACTCCTCCGTGTTTTCACTGTGAAATTTTGAATAGTTGGAAAGGCTCTTGGGTGAGGTCAGTGGCTCATGTTAGGCAAATTAGCGCCGGACTGACCCACATTTTGAGGTTTAGTGGCGCTTTAATTATCCAGGCAATACTGGCGGGTGACGTCACGGTCCCGGAAGCCGTACTTGAATAAAGCCATTCATAGATTCAGTCGTACTTTGAAGCCTCGTGACTTCAGTCCCATGAGTCAAAAACTGCTTAACTATTTACTTATAAGTTATTGATTTTTTTTACGGTAAGAATATTTTTTCATAAATAATTAGTGTAATAAGTTTTGTGAAAGTGGTGTACTGGATATGTGGACTTTCCATCACTAACGTATATGTAAGAAATATGTACAGTACATTACATAACAAATTTTTCCATTAATTCTTTCACTAATCAATCATTAACACTCAAAGCATAAAGTAAACAACAATTCCCTTATAAGAACTACGGAAAAGTGTTCTTGTAGGTGAAGGCTAAACATTACTGTGCCTTGAAGCAGTAAGCATTAGGTTCAGATATAAATAAAAGTTATTCCATGAAACTCCAAGAATATAGTGTAGGAACCTGCGGATAATGACACACTATGTTCCCTCACAGATGACGTGCCTATATAAGGGTATTGCTCTTATTGTTATGCTGTGGACTTGTTATTAGTAGTATAAAAACCTCGCCCTGGGGTATCTCGGCTCCACCAGGTAATGTAGTCATCATGTGAGATTTAGAAACTTTATTTACTAATTTCAGTATACAAGTACAGATATAAGTACATAAGTTACAATAATTCTCTTGTGGTGGTAATGTAAGTGTAAGTCTTAACGTAGATACATTAGGGACACTACAATATATAACTTTACCCAAGTGTTGTCTAATGGTAGACCCTGCTGCCATATGGCATCACGAAAGTTGTGACCAAGTCCCAGGTTGCTGATCTGACTTTCTGCCTCATTTACACACAATTGCAGGGTCTCAGTTGTTTCTCTTACCATTGACAACACAACATACATATAATGTTTCTCACTTTTGATCTTTTTTTATTTTTTTATTTCTTTATGGTTCTTTATTATTTTTATTATTATTATTATTATTATTATTATTATTATTATTATTATTATTATTATTATTATTATTATTATTATTATTATTATTATTATTATTATTATTATTATTATTATTATTTTCGCCCCCAGGCCCGATGGGGGTCAGTGACCGCCCGCAGTGGCTAATCCCCTCGAAAAAAAAATATATATATATATATATATATATATATATATATATATATATATATATATATATATATAATATATATATATATATATATATTAATATCTATATATATATATATATATTATTACCAACACACGTACACACCAACAACAATGTACACCCACCAGCAGACATATACCACCAGAAAACCTCACACAACACCACAACCCACGAAAAGCACACATGACACCTCACCGACACACCACCATCACCAACACACCACCATCACCAACACACCACAACCAACCTGCCAACAACACCAGCACACCACCAGCACACACCACCAACACACCACCACCAGCAACCACCACCACCAACACACCACCACCAGCACACCACACCACCAACACACCAACCACCAGCAACACCACCACCAACACACAACACCAGCACACACACCACCAGCACACCACCACACACCACCAGCACACCACCACCAACACACCACCACCAGCACACCACCACCAACACACCACCACCAGCACACCACCACCAACACACCAACCACCAGCACACCACCACCAGCACACCACCAGCACACCACACCAGCACACCACCACCAACACACCACCACCAGCACACACACCCCACCAACACACACCACCAGCACACCACCACCAACACACCACCACCAGCACACCACCACCAACACACCACCACCAGCACACCACCACCAACACACCACCACCAACACACCACCACACCACCACACACCCCCACCAGCACAACACCATCAACACACACCACTACACACACCACATCACCAACACGTTCACCAACACACCACCATCACCAACACATCACCAACACCTCACCAACTCACCACCACCAGCACACCACACCACCAGCACACCACCACCAACACACCACCACCAACACACCACCCACCAGCACAACCACCACCAACACACCACCACACCACCACCACCACCACCACACCACACCACCAGCACAACACCACCAACACACCACCACCAACACACCACCACCAACACACCACCACCAGCACAACACCATCAACACACCACCACCAACACACCACCACCAGCACAACACCATCAACACACCACTACATTACCACCACAGCATCAACACGTCACCAACACATCACCAACACCTCACCAACACATCATAACCACTACTACCAGGAGAGAGACAACATTCCAACCATACAGGATCTGACAAACGAAACTAAAAAACGGCTAACTTTCTCCTGTGCTGCCGCTTGCCTCTCCAGCCCTTCCATGCCTATCTCTCTCTCTCTCTCTCTCTCCTGCCTTCCCCTTCATACCCATCCCTCTTTGTTCTCCCATTTTTCCTCTTCTTTCTATCACTCTTTCTCCCTCCCATCCCTTCTCTCCACTTCACCTTCCTTCGCCTCTCTTCCTTTCCTTTTTTAATCTCTCTTCTTTTATTATTTTCCTTCCCTCTTGTATAATTGGTAATTTTTTCGTTTCTTTTCGTACTCTTTTCCACCTCATCATCATCTTCTTTTCCATTTCTTAACTTTTCCCTCACTCATCATCCTTCTTTTCCACCTCTTATCATCCACTCCCCCACCTTTCATCACACCTTTACCTTTCTACCTTCTCTTCTCTCCTTCTTTCCTTCCTTACTCCCATTTCCCAGTCACTCTTCTCTCTGGAATCTAATAACTGCTAACTTTCTGCCGTGACACTTGATTTAGCGTCACTAGAACCCAACAATAACACTAAGACTTAATAATAATTCAGTCAGATATACAAATGACTCCCTGAAGCTCCCCCCTGCTGGAGGTGGTGAGCCTTCACTTGTTTTTACTAAGTTTTTCTCTCGCCTTGTGATCTACCTCCAATAATCTTGACCTATATTGTAGATAATCGGATTACTTTTTTTTGGCCTCATACACAGGCTAATATTCCTACAGGTACAAAAGTATGCTTAAACAAATACTGTATATAGGCAAGCTCAGATATATACATTTATTCATGTATAGTCGTACAAAAACACAACCAGTATGTGTTTATACAAATGTCCAGTAACACTTATGTTGCATGCTTATGGCAGCCCATTGAAGTCGATGACGACGTTGCTCCAGATGAGATGATTGATGAGTTATGTGTTATTCCTCTGATGCCACCGTAGATGAGTATGGAGTCCAATCCCGGAGGCACAGATCTTGTTTCATAGGTGACAGGGAGATTGTTCATTGAGAGGAATTATACCTTGAGCCCTCTGATGTCGTTGGGCTCGTTTAGTAGCTCTCGTTTGGTTCAGTGAGGTCTCAAGTGTTTCCGCTCCTCTATGGCTTGTTAAGCGCCATAAGGAACGGTCTGAGGCGTACTGATGTACACACACACACAAACACACACACACACACACACGAGAGGATAAGCACGTACACGTAACAACTTTCACTGGCCCCATAACACTGGCTGGCGTCTACAGGCGTGGTCGACCATCCCCTACCTTGAGGCAACTCCACCAGCATCTTTATAGGGAAAGTGACCTGTGCCACACAGTGTAAACATCTTTCCCATATACCCCCATTATATGACAACTGCAAAACCACAATAGCTTTACTAATCGCCATTATGTGACAAGTTTAACGCTACATCACTCTCCATTATTTAACAAAGGTAGAGCCACAATACTCTTGCCATATTCCATTATGTAACAACTGTAATGCCACAACTCTTTATGGTATCGTAAACTACCCATACAAAGATTCATAAACAGATCACAATGTTATGGCTTCTAACACAGACTTGAGGGGGTCGTTATCGATACGTGTAATCTGTACTTTCAAACTTTCAACTTTTTTTAATAGGGAATAATTCACTGTCGAAGCAACTCCTAGACAACCATGTATGGGCAGTGTTGCATTCACCTCTCTCTCTCTCTCTCTCTCTCTCTCTCTGTTTGTCTCATATCCCAGCTACCTAAATATCACTTTCTCCTTCTCCCTTTCTCCCTACATCACTTTGTCAGTGTACTGTGTGGCGTTGCGGAGAACATACTCCTGAGGAGAGAGAGAGCGAGAGAGAGAAACACACAGTACTTTCACTTTCCGTGCCCTACCATCTTTTACTACCTGTTCCTCCTCCTCAACCCTCCCCCCCCATCAGCCCTTCACATCACTCAAACTTTCTCCTGCTCAACCACTGAATCTAATGTATGGTTTTATCCTGAAGTTATTTCGATAGACCGTTTCGTGTTTCTACTCCTAATATGGCACTTTTATGATGGTGATTTCCTTTAACAACAAGTAAGAAATGCTTTGGGATAATTTCAGTGGCTCCTGTGAGAAAAGTGAGGTAAAAGTAGAAGGTCCTCTCTGTAAAGTGAAAGCTTAAGAATACGATGTGCATTCTTGATTCTGAAAAATTTTGCCCCAAATATTAGACGCCTCGGTTTGGTAATACCCTATCAGGTCTCTCGACAGATGGCAAATCATAAACATCAAGCTTTTTTTTGTATCTTTACCGTTCCCGTAAATAAACTCCTACGTAGAAAATATAGTAATCAACTTTCGTAAACAAGAGAGTTGTAAGCGCTGCCATTAGTTAAAAAAAACACTCACACATGCCCTTCCGATGCCACATTCTGCAAGTTTTTCTCTGATTTCACTCCAGTTGGACTTGTCCTTCAGCCTGGCGAGGAACCCCCGCCAAGCAGACCTGTTTATTATCTCTC